TGCTGGACATTTTTCCTCCCTAGGTGCAGCACTTTGCATTTCTCCTTGTTAAATCGCATTCTATTGTTTTCTGCCCATTTGTCCAACCTGTCCAGGTCTGCCTGTAGTTGTTCCCTGCCCTCCGGTGTGTCCAAATCTCCCCACAGTTTTGTATCATCCACAAACTTGGACAGAGTACACTTCACTCCCTCTTCCAAGTCACTGATGAAGACATTGAATAGCACCGGTCCAAGAACCAAGCCCTGCGGGACCTCACTGCCCACATCCTTCCAGGTCAATATCAACCCGTCCACCACCACTCTCTGGGTATAACCCTCTAGCCAATTTGCCACCCACTGGACTGTGTAATCATCCAAGGCACAGCCTCTTAATTTGATCACCAGTATGGTGTGGGATACCGTATTGAAGGCCTTCCTGAAGTCTAAGTAAACGATGTCGACCCCTACTCCTGCATCCAGGTGTTTTGTAACCTGGTCATAAAAAGAGACTAGATTAGTCAGGGATGACTACCTGCTATGAACCCATGCTGGTTTCCCCTCAGCATAATTTTTCCTGCTGGGCTCTCACATATATGAGCCTTAATTATCTTTTCAAAGACTTTGCCAAGGATGGAGGTGAGACTGACTGGCCTGTAGTTTCTTGGATTCTCCTTCCTCCCCTTCTTGAAAATACGGACCACATTGGCCCTTTTCCAGTCTTCCGGGACCTGGCCTGTGTGCCACGAGTGCTTAAATATTCTTGCCAGTGGCTGTGCAATGACATCAGCCAGTGCCTTCAGTACCCTCGTTCCAGTTGTTCCAGTGTTATTGACAAAGACTTTATTCTGATGTTTTTTAACGAAAGAATGTTTTTTCCATCCTTGCTTCTTCCCTACGCCCAGTAGAAGTAAGGGAATTTTGCCACTGACTTACAGAGCCATGATCTCACCCTCTATTTCAATTAAATTAATCTTACTAAGTCTGTGCTGAATACTTCTGAAATACTGTGCAATTTGCATAGCATCTTTATACTTGGCTACAAACGTATACAGAAGGATCGAGGTATCTCCTGCCCTGATCCTCTCACATATAAAACACACTGAATCTGTATTTGTGCATTCTAGTCTCCACCTCCTTTTTGGCAAGCAGAGACCCTCTCATCTCAGAGTGGCATCAGTGAATCCTTTCAAGATTTAAGTCTATTTGTTCAAAGAAAATTCAGGCATTCTGTAAAGAACATTGTATGGCAGAAGTCAGTATTTTTTACAGGCTTCATAAAATATATAGACCTCTGCCAATAGTATTTTCTTATTCTTCTACTTTTTGTGTTTAAAGCAGACTACACATGCATGAGATAACTGTGTGAAATATTTCATTCTAGTAAAGCAAAAGTGGGGGGATTTTTTTCCTTTCTACAATAGTTTGAGCATTGACCCCCCTGATTTTTTTTGCACCTTCATGATTTTTATTCAAGAATATGCTGATTTGGCTATGAAGTCCCACGAGAAGTGTTAGATGCATTGGCAAAATAATGAAAACTATCTTTGAAAATCAATTGAAATTTCACAGTTGGGGAGAAGAATTTACAAATGGTTTATGGTGAGAATTTGGCCAAAAGTTAAAAAAAAAAAGATTCGCTCAGCCTTAAATAAGCATATGTAATGATTACCAGTCATTATTGATGGGGAAATCATTTACCTTTTGTCTCAGTGCCATATAAGAGCACCAATATAAAGCAAACATAATACCAGAAAAAGTAAGAATAAAGGGAATACTTTAAAATAACCACTTTTGTGCAGAGTTTTACATGCCTGTTTTTCTACCATTTAGTAAAATTCATATTGCTCAATCTTCTTGTACCCTGAAAGCAGATTTTTTTGGAAATACACCTCCAAAAATTGTTCAGATGTTCTGCATTTACATTTCTGATTGGTCCAGAAGACTTCTTGAACACATCAGGAATTAAGACACTGCAAGAACCTTTTCTTCTCTTTCTTCCTTTGACTGCTTCTGTCTGGCCCATATCTGAGGAGGCCTACAGATATTTAATATTGTTATTTTATATTTTTGTCCCTCAACAGGTGATAAAGCACTCTTCAAGCTATATCATCATCAACAACCTATATGATTCTTTAGCTCCTGACCCCCAGTCATCGCTGGAGTAAAATGTAACTTTCTAAACAGTTCCATAGTAGTGGAACTTACACCAGCATATAGTGGGTGTAAAATGGTACCATAGGAGATTGGTACCAGTCTACATCACCATTGCACTGGCACAAATGAATCCATAGTGTGCAAAGCACTTTTATGCCCACTGTGGGTGGGTGGCAAGGAACCAGGGATGTGCAACAGATTTTCAGATGATCCTCTTTTACGCTTCTATTGAAGTCAAGTTCCAGAGTGAGGGGCAATTGAGAATACCTCAGTAAATCCAAAATAATTTTCCCTGTCTGTGCAAAATCAAATTTTTGCCCTGACAAAATTCAGATTAATCTAAAGGAACTGAAGTGTGAAGAGCACATTGAGATAAAATCTGCAATCTGAGAAGCAGGTGCATGGGGGAGCTCAGCAAAATTTAGCTCTGAAGTTTGGCTGCATTGCATAATCACTTTGCCAAGATCAATAAGCATGAGCAGCTGTGCTGTAGAAGTTTGCACATAGTTTCTGATTGAGCAGGTCCCATGGGAAGACAATCTTTTTCAACTTTAATAGAAAGCTAAAATCCTTTTCCTTCCAAGTATCCCTTAAACATTCTGAAAATGATAAATGACAGCAGCAGCAACTGGGGTGTGAAGTATTCCTTCAGACCTGACTTTCCCTTTTCCCAAGTAGAGAGCTCCAAACAACATGCATGAGCCTTTCCTGCTCCAAAGTGATTTGTCATTGAGTGTGAAACCTATCTTCCTCTTCTTTTATAGAGACCGGATGAGAACTTCAGTAAATGTTGTGGGAGATTCTTTTGGTGCTGGCATTGTCTACCACCTCTCCAAGGCAGAGCTTGATAACATTGATTCCCAGCATAAGGGGCATGAAGACATTGAAATGACCAAGACTCAGTCAATTTATGACGACATGAAAAATCATAGGGAAAACAACTCAAACCAATGTGTTTATGCAGCTCACAACTCTGTCATAGTAGATGAGTGCAAGGTACCTTTCACCTTTATGGATATTGAGACTTGTATATAGCGGTGCATGCTTTGTTTCACTTCATTTTTTAACTTGCATGTATTTTTAAAAAATATTACACCAATAACAATGTGACAACAGTCTCTATGAACCCCAGACATGTTAAGTGAGCAGACAAAAAAAGCTTTCTGCACTGTTCTTAAACATGTCACTTGAGGTGGAAAATTATATATGATGTTTACATATGAAAAGCTAAGGCACTATGCAATATATTATGGAATATGCCAAGATACAGAATATGGCATCACCTTTTCTTTGGCAACAGAGAGCCTATGGCCACTCAAAGGAAGGCTGGCCGCAAACTAAACACAGGTGTTATTATTTGTCGACTATCTTCCATGATACACTGTAAAGAGACTCAGTCATTGAATTCACCCTGTCATCTGATGGCTCCAGCACTCATACAGCATGTGTATGCTTTGCTTTTATCATCTTTCTTGGTTCACTTACAATAAGGACTTAACAATTTCTGTCTAATCCTCCCTGTAACTAGCATGTATTTTAAACAAACAATCAAAAAAAGGTCTGATTAGAGCAAAGCGAGCTTCTGAAACCCCACCAGTTGAATGAGAAGTCAATGTTGGTGATGTGTGTTTAGATAGGTACCAGCAACCAAAGCCAAGGCAGGGCTGATTAAAAATCAAGGGAAGAAGGAAAAGAAAAACAAAAACAAGCAGTATAATGTTTATGTCCAGTTTTCCTTCAACTGATTCTGCTTCTCACACTTGATCCTATGTAAAAGGACTTGCTTGTGGCACATGCTGTCAGTGGATTGTTGTTATGATCAGTAATCATGCCCAGATTGGTGCGTCAACCACAGTTAGGTATTTGCATGGAAACAGATCACAGAACCTCTGTCACCTTTAAGTTTCTACTGTGCCCCACATAATCAAATGCTCTAGCTATCTTAGACACTGGAAAAGGGAAAAAAAACTTCTGATGTTATTTCCCACAGTCATCAGTAGGTCCAGGATGGTTTTCCACAGTTTTTTGGGTTTTTTTAACTGCTTTGTCCTGGCCTGCTTCAAGTGACTCAGGCAGGAAATTTTTCCATGGAAATATTTTAATTAAAGAAAGAAAGAAAGAAACAAACAAACAAACAACACCCTTTCATTTTTTTCCAGGTTCTTTTCATGGGAATTTTTCTTCTTCTTTTGGATGAAGTTAAAAATTAATATAAAATTCCATTTAGTTTTTGCCTTGTTTTTTGATGTGTTCTCCCCTCGGTCTTTCCTTCTTATTTTCTACTGGAAAGGCAAGTAAAAAGGAAAAATGAAGTGGTGTGTTGGGGAAAAAAACAAATATTTTTTAAATAAAGGAAAAATTGTATTTAATTTTCTTTAGTTTAAAAGAAAACAGAAGAAAAAATATTCCTGACAATGTTTGTTTCCTTTGAAAAGAAATGTTTCATCAAAAAGTAAACAAAATATTTTGGATGAGTACTAGACTTCACCTGGAAATCTATTTTACAGTCTAATAAAACTGCCGCAATTCCTAAATGGATAAAAGGAAACAGTAATCATTATAATACTTCTCATTTCTTTGGCTTGACACCTTTTGGATTTATTGCTTCTAGATTTCTTGATGTGAGATACATTGCTGTGGCCAATAGATTTGCTCCATCTATGTACATTGGATTTAAAGTAATGTTGAGAACACACAACACGCCACTGACTTCAGTGTAAAAGTTCTTATTGTTGTTCAGGACCTCTTCTATTAAAAAGATGCAAATGACCTAGGGAAATATTGGCTATTCACAAAGCCTAGAACTTTTGCAAATACCAATGAGAGCTTGAAGGTTAATTCTTTAATTGAAAGCAATATTTTAAGAGTCACCACTACAATCCTGTTTTTAAGATGAAATTCTTTGTTGAACAATTAATCACACAGAGAAACAGGAGGCAGCTGCACAGATGGTAGAAATAACTCTGTTTACAAGAACTCAGAGAATCTGGGGCATCAAGACAACCCGAGTTTGTGATTTCCTGATGCTGGTGTTTGCAAGCACAAATCTTGTACGCCAGTCATTTTCTCCATCATATTGGATATACAGAGTTCCATCTCTTCCCAGTCTCTCATTTATACACAAGCAAAATGCAATGGAAAGTACTTTTTTGGTAAATTAGTTCATGCACTTTCCTTTCTACTTCAGTCTCTCTCATGTAGTTCCCACAACTGGACCCACAGGCTTCCCCCATAAATGTGGGATGATAGGACATAATTCTACTTACAGGTAATAGGCATGAAAGTGGATTTAGGCACCGAAATGCATTCTGATTCCACCTTGCTCAAGTTGCTAAAGAAATGTTAATACAAAAGGTGGCCGTGTCCTTTTTTGGGACTCCGTCTTAAGGGTAAGATGTTGGTGCATTATGGAAGTAGATGGATTTTCAGGTACTTGTACTGGTAACAGTAGTATCACACTTAGGTGCCTAAGACTACTTAGACATTCCATAGGTGGAATAAAATTTGGCTCATGATGCTACAATGTCAGTCGGAGAATGTTCTCCTGTTAAAAGTTGGCACAGCTAGCAATATTTGGCACATATTCTTGTTTTACGCTTGCTCTGCCCTGCAACCCTAATAGTACATTCAGGCTTTTGAGGGGAACCATGGCTTACCAGGGAACATAAGGCTGGCTTTGGGCAAGTTACTTGTGTCACTCAATTCCCCATCTGCCAAATGGAAATAATACTTACCTACCTCACAGGGATGTTGTGAGGATTAGCTGATGTTTGTAAAGCACTTTCAACATGTACAATGCTCCACGTACTGACACAGTGTGAGCTTTTAAGGATAAAAAATAGTTAGGTCTTAAGCTTGAAGAGATATGTTTAAATCTTGCAAAATTCACTGGAGGGGAGAAAAGTTCGCTGAAACTCTAGTCAAAGTTTTAAATAGCTAATAATATTAACCTGTCATCTCCGTTTACTTCTTGTAATATACTCCAGATAGCTCCTGTAGTATATAGATTTGCACAGGCAATGTATATTTATATTAAATAGACTACCTTTATATTGGGGTAAAGTGGCTGTTATTGCATGATATTTTTGTATTTTTTTATGAACACATTTCACATTATGTGGTTTTCAGTTCCAGTTGTGGTGTTTGTAATTGCGTGTGTTTTTGTCATCATTACCTAAGAGAAAACTGACTATTTCAAACATCGGTGCATTTTGTTATGTATCCATGTCCCACTGCTTCCATACATCCAGTTTACCTATCACATGGAAATTCAGTCCTGTCTGTAAGTTTTCTTATGAAGCTGAAGACAGTAAATCAGAAGGTAAGCTAGGATAGAGTGGGCTGTCCATTTAGAGTTGGATGAAAGTTCCCTAACTATGGAAAGGTCCAGTTCATAATTACTTAGCCAAATAAACAGTTATTCTGGCTCCTTCCACCAGAAATGTCTCCTCTTAATCATTTCCCATGACTATTGGGATATAATGCACCAGCCAGTATTTCCTGAGAACTGAAAGAGTAACAGTTATAGTTTTTGCCAAAGCTATATCATTGATATTGTAGCATGAACTTTGTTATAATTGTGTTTTGTTGTTCTGTTTGTAAAATAAGAATTGCTTGGCCTAAGCGTAGCTAAACCTTTCGCATGCATGATCATAAATAATAGCCAGATGAATGCTGCTTTAAACTAGTTCTTTGAGAAGCAGTGGTTCTGCCACTTCTTAAAGGTTTCTGTAGCGTGTGCGCGCGCGTGTGTGTGCATGCCTGTGTATCAATCTGTTCTTTTCACATTCCTCCATGCCCTGAAGCAGATATCCTGCCTTGTTTTTGAATGCTACTGAATATTATTTACTCCATGTTAAAGAAACATAAACATTCTTTTCTTGCAAGTTGGGAGAAATATGAAAAGGACAGAATAGGAAGATTAATCTGAAATATTTATGAAAATTAAACAGCCAAAAAAAAAAAAATCCAGAAAGCCGGGACTATTTTTTTACTAATGTTTTAGTCAGTATGAAATGTATACTGTATATAAGTATATATACTTCCTCCCAAGTTTGGAGATCATCTTGGATTTGGAATTATATATATATATTCACACACAGAGTATGCAATTCCTGTAAATATCATGATTCTCCTGTTAACTTGTAACTTTTCTCATTGAAGTGCCTTGGGTCTTTAAGTTAGATGTCAATGATAATTACTTGCAGGTAACACTGGCAACCAATGGCAAATCTGCAGACTTCAGTGTTGTTGAGGAAGAGCCTTGGAAACGTGAAAACTAAGGGAAGAGAATTCCAGCTCCATCTTTAATAAGCCCCTGAAGCTGTCTTATGGTAAACGATTAAAGAAGATTGCTCTCTTTTTATTTAACATCTAAGGTTTCTGCTTATTAGGTTGTTAGCTGAAACTTAGCAAAGAGCTCATAAAGTCATTGTTTAGCTGAAGTGTTTTTTGCCAAATAACAACTCATAACCATCTATCTCCCCTGTGTCACTGTTTGAATGGATGCAGCTGGGGCATACTTTATGTGTAAAGAGATACATTCTCACCCGCCTTCCCCTTTCACTCAAGACACAGAGAATGTAGATGCTGCAAAATGAAAAGATCAGTGTGCCAGTATGGCTCTCTCCAGGGACTCAGGGTAACAAATATATAGTATCATATAAACCTTAAAGTGTTTTTAGTGTCTCTGTGACATACATATGAATCAGTACTGAGGCATACATTTGATGTATTTAACATTATTTAGCTACAATATTAACTGTCTACAAAGTGTTTTCTATCTGTTTAAATGATAATTAGGCCTTGTCTTGGGCAATGCTGAATTGTTTTATTCCTGTTACACTTTAAATTAAGTGTATAAGTGTTTCATTTAAATTTGGGGGCTAAAGTCATTCCAAGTGGAATTGCATTAAAATCCATACAGTCTATACATCCAAGATACTATACATCCATCAGCAATGATATATTGTAACTATTAATGTCATTCAGAATTTGTTGTAATTCAAATACAGTTTGTTGATGGTATAGGGATGGCTCACCTGCACCACCCCCCACCCCCTTTATCTCACTCAGTACTATCTTCCTCCACACACAGTCCCATGCACTGCCATGCAATTACGCGTGTAGTAAGATACTACTCAGAATAGATAAAGGGTTTATAGTTGGGCCCACAATAACTTTGATAATGAGGTGAAGCCAAATCCTGACCAGTTTACTCAGCTACAATTCTGATTGAATACAGCTTTCTGAATTTGATTATAACTGTACAATCAACACACAATGTTCAACTGAAATGAATTTACAAGATGTTCATTTATACCTTATGACACTAAGACCTGCAGGCATTCAGGCTCCTGACCTACTCAGATCCTTTTGAAAATGTTACCCATGTGTTCTTTATATGGACCTCCTATAAACTATATACAAAGATCAGCCCCTACCACCTTTCTTCAGAAGGTTGGGTCACTCCCACTGAATATGACTCAACCCCACAAGTAGTCCCCAGGAGACTATTCTGGGAAGAAAGTTTTATTCAACATAAAGAAGAATACTAGGATCTGGCCCCAGATCACTACTGAACATGTTTTTGTTGGGGATGAATAATTGTGTGTGACATGTTAAAATGTAATGGTGCTTAACACATCAGTTTACTGATGCATCTATGAAACACTTAACTTAAAGTGATAACTGTCTTCCTTCTCTGAACATTTCATGTTTGAGCCAACATGCTTAATACAGAAGCCATTATTCAGTCACATTTCAGATTTGAAATCTATAGGAAAAATGGCTAGGGTTGGGACTGAGTCAAGGAGGAAACCAGGAACTCAGGATTTAGGCCAGTAACTTGAATCCCTATCTCTCTGATGTGAAGTAACAATTTGTATTAATCTCTTTGTTTTCTGAAAAGTAATGACTGTAAAGAACAAAGCCTCTGAAGATATTTTGTCAACAAGTCTTTGTAACCATAAGTATTGGGAAAGATATAGGTGAAATCACTTATTATAGTGTTCTATGGCAGATCTGATCCAGGGACACCCTGCCCACTGAGCAAACTGTCTGTGTGTAACATGAAACGTGTGTATGTTTTAAAATTTTCTCTGAGTTGACCAGCCTATGAACTTATCTGAAACTTATAAGAAAGAAGGGGGAGTGTTTATGGATATATGTTACCCTTAGCCCATGGACATAGCTGCTATGGATGTAAAATACATGCAAATATTAGTCGTATTTGGCCCTGTAAAATCAATTTCTGAGTTTAAATCTTAATCTGGCTGGATTTTTTGTTTTTCATGCTCTGCATCTATGTTTGTGTGAGGATTTCCACCAAATCACTGAGCAGAACCAATAAGGACTATTTGCATGATTAATGATCTGCAGGATCAAGTCAACATAGTCACTAATCCTGTATTTGTTGTGTGGGAAATATTCCTTGTCAATGTTTCTGCTCCATTGACATCCTTTTACTACCATCCTAACCAAAATATTCTAGATAATTTAATAGGTACTAAACCACTGCATGCCCTATACACTTTACCCTGAAAACCTATAGAATTGAATAAAAGATAATACCTTTCTATAGGTCTTTTGAATCAACTTAGATGTTTATAGCAGTGCTAGATCTCTCTATTATATGCTATAGGATGGTTTCAAACAAACTTATCATTTTCTATTTGATTCCTTAGGACTATTTCATTCTTCAGTGGGTGTGTCTACACAAGACATTTTCTGCAGAGCTGGTCAATTAGCTCTGTAGTAAAATGTCACTGTCTACATGTGCAGTACTATTAGGCCAGAGTAAACTAATTAACTCCACCATAGGATAATACTGCCAGACACAAGTACTATCTTGTGATGGAGTTACTTACTTCACCGGACTGCACCTGTAGACACTGATGGGGCTGGCTGGGGTACAAGGATGCTACAGTGCAGGGTCTGCCTGCTGGCTAGCCCTGCCCTATAGCACCCTCATGTTCCAGCCAGCTCTCACACAGCACATTGAGCTGAGTTGGAGCAGTCCCAGGCTCACAGGTGATCCCCAGGGCCCCTGCCAGCTGGAGCTGCTCTGTCCCAACTCAACATGCTGTGAATCCAGGCATACATGCAAATGCTGTGCCCAGGAGAATTAAACTCCAGTGTGAACTGTAACAGAGTTAATTGCTCCACCCTCATTGCACATGTAGATGTGCCCAGTGCAATACTTAGGTGTTTGAAAGGATCCTATTCTTATCCTTCTGGCACCCAAAAATGTGAACCTACAAATGTACTCATGCTTTGCTTTTCATAAAAATGTAGACATAACCAGAAAAGGGAAAAGAAAAAGATGCCATGGTGTTCAACGTATTTAATGGAAAATTGTAAGTACTCTGAACTTTTCAAGATCAGGGACCTAGTCTGGATTTGAATAAAAGTTTTGTTTCCCTGTCCCCCACATGAAAAGCTGCCAAGACTGCTCCAGTACTCTCTAAAATGTACTATAATTGGCATAGCTATTTTTTGCATGTTGGCTCACCTTAAGTGTAATTCTCTTAGAGCTAAGTAGTAGTTATATCCAAGAACAGAATACTGAAATATAGTTGAGATTCACAAACATTTTCAAAGCATGGCCCATATCATAATAGCAAAGTATGCCACCTTCCATCCTGTTCTTGAAAATCTACTTTCCCTGTGGCAGCTATAAAGTGCTTACATTTAAATGTATTATTAAGAAGTTGATTAGTGTATTTTTATCTGTCTTTTAAAGTAATTTAGTAGCTGGAAAGATGTAGGAGAGCAACACTATGTAACTAGGCAGTTCCATACAATTGCACACTGAGAACAGCTCAGAATTTGCTTGTCTTTATCAGCTTTGAACAGACTGCCCTTTAAGGAGGTGTTCTTCAGATCAGGACTAATAGAGGGTGAGGTGAAAACTCCACCCACGCAGCCTTTTATTTTGACTAAAAAAAGCAGATTGCACAATGTTTAAGTAGGACTTTTGTAGCTACAGTAACTCAGGGAAGTTTCAATAGATAATCACCATGACATTCTTCTACTTATATGGAAATGGGAGAAGAGGAGCAATAGAGAAATACTGTTTTCGGTAAACTCTTTGTTATCACACAAGCTATAGACTTAACGTGGTGCTGCTCCAACAAGTACAGAATTTAATCATCAAAAAGCTTTCCATTACTCTGGGAAATGTAACTCACAATTGGCTACAATTTTATAGTTTGCTCCTTCCATATGAGGCTGGGTTGCTACTTAACTAAACAAACAAGAAAAACCCCAGAACTGGCCACTCAGCCTAATTGAAACTTCATATCTGAGTGGACAATGCTTGTTACTGGCTTCTCTCATTTAATCAGATTGTGTTATACAGTGGTTTTGCATTTGGCCTACAAAGCATTGCATTTCATTATTCATTTCTCTAGTGTCCGCAAAGCAAAATTAGGAGATGAGCACAGCAGAAGATGACATGCTTTTGGTGTTGGTATATGAACTAAAATTTCTTTCTACAGGCATTTTGCTTAGTCTTCTGTCAGTGATTTCCTCAATTGCCTACATACTTATGAATGATACATATGTGTTCCCTGGAATGCTGACATCAGCAGAAGATCATGGGAAAACTCAGGAAATAGCATGCTTTAAAAAAAATACACACACAAGCATTTTTCTGGATAGAAATGTACTTACATATTTGAATACTTTGCTGAATCAGGAATATTACTTAGTCTGTTCCGGTGATATTCTTCCAGGCCCATTGCACACTGTAGTGAAAACTGAATTTATCATAGAATCACAGGGTTGGAATTGATCTCAAGAGTCATCTAGTCCAGGTAGTACTGAATTTCTTCTTCAGTATTTCTTTCTAAAGAACATGACTGGCTTTGTGTAAAACAAGTTTGCACAGGATTTATGCATTAAGATACATAAATCTCATTTAAGGTTTATGCTAACTAAATCACAAGATAATACATACACCTCTCAGTCAAGGTTGTGTGACATTTTTTTTCCCTTTGGAAAACTATATTTTTTATGCTTGCAAAGTGTTGACCACTCTAAGCTCCCACTGAAGTCGACTGGAGCTCCCACTTAAGTCAAGTGTTCAGCTCCTTCCAAGATGCACTAGCATCCTCAATGACAGTCTGATTCACCTATGAGTAGGATACTTATTCACTCAAAATTCCCATTAATATTAAAAAGCAGAGAAAGATTATTATTGTTAATCCTTGCCATTTCCTTCATTACTGTTAATACCTCATCGCTCTTTAATGCTAGTTGGGGATTTTAACCCTGAGAC